ACCAAAACCGGACCGAACACCAGATTGAACAGGCCTAACTGGCACGTCAGGATCACAACGCTTCTCGCCAAATCCTCCCGGACTCGCACCTTTTTTTTCATTTTAATTTTTTTCTTAAGTTGAAACTTAATTAGCATTAATCATGTACTTTCCGATAGTGCTTTCATGGCTAAACCGGACTCCCGGTCGGTTCACACATAAATTTGTTACTGTGACTTGCCTTTACTGTACACTGCTATCAAAATGTTGGATTCTTATCTTGCCATACAACTATACAAGTTAACTATCTTTCTTTAAGTGTATACCTAAAAAGAATAAATCAGTGGATTAACCCAAATTCCTTATATATTACTCATATCCCTTATATATTTTTGATGTGAGATTTTTATCTCAACACCCTCCGAAACAATGTTTTTTCTATCAATTTCGATGGAACTGAACTTTCTATGGGCCATTATCTAATGGGATGATCGGGCCATTATCCGGGTCAGATTAATAGGTCAGAGTGTGGGCCGGCTCTAATACAATGATAAGTTTCATGGGCTACCAACTTAAAACAAATTGACAATTAGTGAATTAATCAAAATCCCTTATATTTTACTTATATTACCATATTTTAAAGTTCAAATTTATTTAGGAACATATTTTATTGTTGCATGTTCTTAGATTCTCCATTCAAATACATATTTTATTGTTGCATGTTCTTAGATTCTCCATTCAAATACATAGGTTTCATAAAGGATGTTACGGCCAGTGAATATATCAAAAATAGTTAACCACAGACCTCAAAAGCTGCAAGATAACAAGCTGATTAACAGTTTACTATATAATATACGGAAAATAAAAACCATTTTGCAAGGATAGAGGTTACGTACATTTGGATAGCAATAGAAAACAGAAGAATGGTATATAGTATATTAGTTATTTTGCTACTAGGGTTGCATACAGATGAACTCATCCTCTTTGCATTCTCGAATTTCAATTTCCATTACTTTTCCATCGGTCGAAGTAGTAGGTAAAATATCACAACACTGTCTTCTTGGAGCCTTCAACTATCACATCCAAAACAATAGATTAAGATAAGTAAACTTAAAATAAATAAAAACTAACATTTTTAACGAATACTCACGTAATGTTTAAAAAGTATATTTAACTGTTACACATTTAAGATTCAATATTTCTTTAAAGCTTAAATCTCAAATTAGTTCACTGATCAACTTCAATTACTAAAATGGAGACTGAGTATTTCCAAGCATCTATCCTCTTATTTTAACATTTACAAAGCGTTTATATTGAATTTAATATGTGATATTCCTAATTTTGTTGTTACGTAATTTTAGAGTAAAAAGATAAATATATCTAAGGAAAAGTTTAGTGATTGACACATTTCAACATATATAGATTTACTTCTTTTTTCTTTTTTGAACATTTTCTTAGATTTACTAGTTTAGCAAATAATTTTACAGATGACCAAAAATATCACGCTTTATCATATCTATTATACTGAAACACTAATTTTTATTTTAAAAATCCAGAAAAGAAGAATGGTAGGGTGACTTACTTGTCTGATATCGGGATCAAGTCTTGTCGAGAACACTCTAATTTCTTCAATTTTGCGAGGCGTCGAAATGGGGTCATACGTGCAGTTCTCGTAAGCTTGCTTGTACACACTTTTAATAGTTCCATCACCGGGAGTAGAGGAAACATGTTCCATGAAGAAAGTGACAGGTCTTTTGCAAGGATCAGGATTAAACTCTCTTGTGTTGAATGTGTACACACTTGCCAACCAGCCAAAATTTTGCCATGGTCGGAACGTTTCTTGTGTTCGCAAAACATTACGTAGAAACATATGCCTACTCTCAATCTAATATTTGAAACAACAAATTAACTTGATTTAATAGCACTAAGTTATATTTTCTAACGTTAAGATCGGCAAAACGATATTAACCTGAACAGTATAACCCCAGGAGACAGAGATGGTCCAAGAGTACGGACGGTAGTAGCAAACGGAGAGTTGCAATATACGGAGAGGATCAAGTTCTACGGCGGAGAAGAGGTGTTGGACCGAGGAGAAAATGGTTGAGTTTGGGAAGAGTGGATCAAGGTGGGACATGTGATGTAGAGACACCAATGGTCTTGTTGAATGTGACGTCAATATTCCCAATGCATTTCCATTCACATCAAACTGCATAAATAAATAAATAAAATTGAAACTTCTATAAATTAATAATGTTAGTACTACCCAAAATTTTATTTTTTATTAATTCTAGAGATATTAATTTATCGATATACTAATTGAATGAAAAAACTCAATTTGGGATTATAAAATTGTATTATTTTATAGAGATATTTAGTGTATATTAATTTATCGAGTATTAATTTATAGAAGTTCTATTGTACTTAAACAAAAAAATTAATAACTATATAAAAAGTTGCAATTTTGTAAAACCTGATGGAAGCCAGGTTCGTGAGACAAACCAATTCCAAGCTCGACCACACAAACATGAACCCTACTGTCTCCTCCGTACAAATATGGGTACCTTTCGATGCAAGAATCGAAATTTTTAGCTAAAACGTCAGCCAACGAACTGCTTAAAGCGATTCCTCCACCGCCAAACGCCATGTCGTTTCCAAATATCCTGTTCTGCTCATAAATCTCTGAGGTGGCTCCTATGTAATACCATGATCTGTGGTCGTATTTAGATAGTGTTCTTGCGAGGTTTTCAGGGATGAATATAGTATCGTCGTCTCCAAACACGTACCATCTTACTTCATGTGCGGAGTTATTGAACATCCTTACCGTTTCTAAAACGCACCGCGCGATTCTAATGGCGCTTCTATCGCCGCCTTCGCAAGTGTATCTGGATAATCAATAATTTAATTAGTTGATTCAATTTAGCTATATACTCGGTTTAGAATGGAAAATTAAAAGAATAAAACTGTAATATTAAGAGAATTATTATTATTGTTATTGTGAAATTAATTTAGTATTTATTATTGTATGCTTTTCACTAATAGAATGTCAACTTAATTTGTTAGATATTATGAATTTTTTAGAAGTTATATATTTGAGTATAAATTTTAAACTCATTTGTAAACAGTTTTTAAAATATAAGAAATGAGTTTAAAGTTCCTAAATAAATTTGAAACATGGGCTAATTAATATCACAGATTACACCTACCTACTTAAAAATGATGATATAAATAGTTTGCATAGTTACCTAAACCGTGAAGTATCTTCAGAAACACAAATCGGAGGGAGAAGATGAGAATCTGTGTTGTTCTCCAAAGCCGAGAGAGGTTGGTCAACAAACACACACCCTCTCATTCTTTGAGTATCCCACCAAAGCTTAACATAATCTCTACGTGCAGGCCACGAGTTGAAGCTCGATCCGATCCCAAAGACAACGTGATCGATCTCTGTAAGGCTCTGAGGTTGATCTTGAGAAGATGAAAAGTAGGCATTAATAGTTTCTTTAGGCTGACGCATTGATACGGAAAGGGAGACGATAAGGTAAACAAAGCAGATTAAAACAGAAAGTAGTATACAATTCACCATACGGGTCGAGATAATAGGGGAATAAGAGGAGAACGAATAAGTTTTCCACATGGGTCGAAAGAGATGCATTTTCTTAGGGGTCAAAAGAGATGTATATGAAGAAGGATACAATTTTGCATATTACCTATATATATAATAGATAAATAAATATCTCAAAATGTATAAATGCCATGACAGTGGAGACATTGATTAAAGTGGTGGTCACGGTGTCTATAGACGGTTGTAGCGGCAGCGGAAAATGAAGTTCGATCATAAGGAGGGTAATGGAGTAACGGGATAATGTATTTTTTTTTTAATGTACGGTATTAATGCGGCTTAACTATTTACCTAATGAAGATAAGGCGTAGACAAAGGAGGAGAGTATTAAATTATTTGCTTTGTTTCCTTTATAGTATATAAAATTTAATTTGAGTGTAGAGTCTTTTTGGACACATACATCTCCACTTTATAGTTTTTTCACAATTTAATGTTGGATATGTCTAATATTATTTTAGTTTTTGAAGGCTGTTTATATTTTGGTAATGAATTTTTCTTACGGTAGTGAAGATATGTGCATCGAATGGAATTCACATATTAACTATAATTTTAGGAAAAAAATGCTTAAGTCTTCCGGGCATTACAATTGGTATACAAACTTCAATTAAAAATATGTTTACTCATGAGCAAACAAATCTTTATACTATCTTCTGCTTCTTGCGTTTGGCCGAGCGAGCGTTTACAATTACGTCCATAACAATGATGATCATATATATGATCGCAACCATCTTTTTATTAGGTCATGAATTTTATTAGTCACTTTATTAGTATTTATTTGCTCGTGGGTCATAATCATACAATAAAATCTCTGTAAATTAATAATGTTGGGGCTTTGAAATTTTATTAATTTATAGAGATATTAATTTACTAAATTTTCCTTATTTAGATATTTTATTTTTTGAGATATTATTCTTTATTTTTTTACAACAAGATACATTTATTTAAGATAAAAAATTGATTATAATGTGTAGACATTAATTTTTTTTTTTTTTTTGCAATTTGACATTTATATTAATTCTATTGTATTATTTGGTGTATATAATATATATTACATATAATTTAATGTGATTTTACATATATATTACTAAATCTCTTCAAAAGTATATTAATTGTTAAGAAAATATAAAGATAACTCAATTGTGAATATAAAAAATAGTATAATTATAGGTTTTTAATTATATAAAATATGTATATATATTAATTTATAATTTTAATGAGACCATATATTTACTTTAAAGTTTTCTGAAAATATATCTTATCATTTAATTGATTTGTGTCAAATTTTGAATCGGCCTAAATTGAAACTGGCGAAATTTATTAATTTATAGAGGTTCGACTTTGTATATCACCCAAGTGATAAATAAAATACGAACATTTTACAAATGAGCATTACACACAGAACATTTCACAAACAACATTTCTTAGAGACGATAGTTGTTAGATACAAAACGACAGAGACAATGGCATGAAGGAAACACACTTTGCTTCCTAAAGACAGAATATTTTTGTTTGTGAATCCACATTTTGATCTTGACTCTCTGTTCGTCCATATGCCCATCGTAAGTATCACCGCTCCTGCAGTTGCTACCATCCTGTTCTCCACCATCATCCAATCCACAGACAACACCACCAAGTGTCAATGTCATAATTAACAAAAAATTCAAGTAATACTGTATATGTATTATATATAACAAATTTTAATGTGTTGGATATGCAAGCAAAATTTAGATCTTAAAACAATTTATGTGATGATTATGACTTCTATTTTTACTTTGAGAGTATAAATCTTTAGTTACCAAGTGAGAGAAAGACAGGCCATGTTGATGTATCCACTGATCTTAGGTACGACAAGTAGTTTGAGCATATTGGAGATACTGCATCCTATCATAATGGCGATGATATGAGCTGCTACCAAACATCCTAATGCTATTATCCCTAACACGAAAGCTCTTTGGCTTGGAGATTTACACTCGACTAACCACAGCCTCGTGTGTTTCACCTGCATCATGGGCATAACAGAAATGCAACCATCATCGTCATCATTTGTTTGCAATGATATATATAAGATATGTATATACGTACCGCTTCTTGGGCGACTTCGGCTTGCATTGCCATAAAACCCGCGAAGATATCTAATCCCACGATCAAAAATATACATAAAACTATTACAACATTAAAGCATCCACTCTTCTTCTTCTCCTCCCCCTCTCCCATTTTTAATTATATTTAAGTTTTATCTTCAATCTTGACTTCGAAAACAGACAAGAAAAGTGTGAATCAAGAAGACTAGAGGTCGGATTATTTGTTGAAGTTGACAGTATTATGTAAAGGGGGAAAGTATGGTACTCCCATCTTCTGAGGAAAATAGATTAATATATAGAGGCTAGAGTTTGAATTGGATCTTAGATTACGTAGAAGATGGCTAAGTAGTGAGTAATTTTGTTCATTCCTATCTACATTACAAGTCAAATAATAATTTGTTAAAAGATAATTTCAAATTAAATAATGATAATCCTTTGGTCAGAAACTTTTACGTAGTCATATCTCTTTCAATTGTTTTTTTTTCCTTTTTTAACTTTTTTGTTGAATTCAAGAAATTATGGATAAAAGTTCATAATTTCTGAGGCCATAAATTAGCTAGTTGTTAAATTTTTGGGCATTCTTTTAGATCTGGAATCTGGCATCTTTACCAGTAGAGTTAATGAATCCGGATACCCTTCTTTGTATCTTTTTGATTTTATATCTTTACTTTTAGGAAAAATAGAGTCGACTATATACCTAAAATACAACAAAATGTATATATTTTCATTACTAGTGGAAACCATAAGATTGATGGTCTACTAATGGGAACACGAAAGGAATTAATCCAACCTATTTTAATTTATCTTAGGACAATCTTTTTATTGACGATATATATATATATATATATTTAATTACCGTTAAAGTATGATCTGTCTAATAGTATTATGACGTGTGGATTATATAAAGAATATATATACATGTCTACATATATCTAATAATAATTAGATCGTGGCACAGGGGCGAAGCCACCTTATGAGGAGTGGTGGCAAGTGCACCCATGATTATATTGATATTCACAATTTTAAAGACAGAAACATTGAAATTTTGGTGAATTAGATGGCAAAACTCAGCCTATGCACCCATGTGATCTTGAGTTCAAAATTTTTTCTTACATTTTTAAAGTTTATTACCAATAATGTACCCATTGAATATATTCTCTAGCTTCGCCCTGTCGTTGCACTTGTCCAGTGTTAAATAAAACAAAGATGATAAAGTAACGTAGGAGAAAGAAAGCAATAATTATGAAAGATAGGATTATACAAAACAACACAAAATCATTATCAATTAAATATGACATGTATTTTACCTCTTTTAAAAATATATGACATGTATTTTAAACATAAAATTTTAAAAATTGTCAATGAAAAATGTTATGAATTAACAGTAGTCATTAAAATTAGTTTATAATTAAAACTATATAGATATTTTTCTAAAAAGCATATGTTATTATTATAAGTATAGAATGATTTACTGCAACATCGTTTTGTTTGAAAATCATGGCATCTAATTTGATTATTTTTTACAATCATTGACTTCCGTTCCATATATATGGACTTTAAAATCAAACATGTGCCTTCATCATATTTGATCCAGAGCCGGTCCTAGGTTTAAGAAGGCTAGAAGCAAAAAAAAAAAAAATGTGGCCACTTATCAAAACAGGAAAGAAAAAAAAATATACTAATGCATACTCGAACCCGGGTTGCCATTAATAAGTCTATTTAATTCGTCATAAACCACTAGACTATGGGATTACTTTGGAAAAATGTGGCCGGAATTTACACTTATAATTGATGGCCGGAAGCATGTGCTTCATTGGCTTGGTAGAAGGGCCGGCTCTGATTTGATCATTTGTGGTTAAAAGCATTTCCAACTTTTTTGGTTGTAATTCATATAGTTACAATTTTCTGCTACAAAAATTTCAAGAAAGGCCCCTACTAATGGATCATGTCCATGAACATTATTACATCATAAGCGAAATGGTGCATTCAGAGCCAACAATGGATTAAATGCACTGAGACACCGTTCTTTGTAAGGATCAGATAAACTGAGACAGCCTTTGCAACTACGGATTCAGGTTGTTAATTTCCCACCTTTATTTGCTGGTATTGGTACTTGGTAATAGTCGACTATACACTACGATTGAGAATGAATTTACGAGATGCACGATGTTGGCTTACGGTGCAGTCTGAATATTAATGCAGCATGTCATTTTAACTGAAGATTTCTAATAAAGAAAATTCTCACTACGAGAACCATGGTGTTGTATGTAATTTATGAATGGTATTTAGTGGTTAGATATATGGATCTGATGCTGATTACTATAATTTTAGTTCCCATACATTCATTTCAGACCCGTACTACAAAAACTATTACAACACGATTGAGAAACTAGCAAGAATGCAGTCTAGAATGTTCTTAATTTATGTTTGAAGTGTAAGAAAAAGATCATCAACTTTCGCTGTTTTCCAATTGTCGAGCTTGTTTTATTCATATTTGTAGATTGACATATTTCTTCATAGCCAGCCACACACAAATCCTTTGACATATAGGTTTGACATTGTGATTCAAGTTTGATTCCTATTTTGATTGTCATTTAGTTATTTAGGTATGGACTATTAAACCAACCTCTGCGCTTCGCAAACTCTATATGCTTTTTAGATCAAATGTCTTTTATCAAAAACCAAAATATATATCTTTGACAATGAGAAGGGTGAATAAAAGATAACACACTTCAATACATGAACGGAGAAGGAGCAAATCCCAGCGATGATATACGATATGTTGTTGTGTTTCCCCTGCATTCAAACAACAATAATGTTTCTCATATATAGTCCCTTATAAATAAATAATAAACTAGCTTTGTAATCTATTGTGAAAATTTCAATGCAACTAGTAACGGTGAACCAATAATCAAATAATAAAAATCAGACAATAGTTTTATTACCAGGCTCTCTTCAGTGTTATATCTCTGTTTAGGAACGGCGTCGTTCCTCGGGCAACAGATTTTCTAAGCGAGACATTACTACTCTCTCCGTCGAAAACGGTGGATGTATCCTCCGAAATGACGGAGAGAGACGGTAGCCACCGCCGCTTTCTGTTGATCATCTTCCTCTTTGGAGAAAGCGGCGCGTGGCGATACACACTTCGAGAGATAGTCGTCTTACGTGCATGCGGATCAACCGTGGTGGAAGATGAGTCGTCTCCATTGGTTGGAGATGAGCGATAACACTGACGAATTAGAGAGAATAACATTTTAGGGGTTTTTATTTGACGACGGGAAACTGTTCATGCACACATATATCATTTATATATGTATGTTGATTATATACGTGTATATTGTAAATTTCGAAACCGAGTTAAAAGTTTTTTTCCAGGGTAGTTTAATGTGAAAGATTATATTTGCTTTTTTATCAAGATTATATTGGCTTAATTTCGATTCATTTCCATATAAGTCTAAATTAAAAGATGTTGTTTTCTTTTTCGACTTTATCCATTGCAGTAAAAAGATAATGATCTCTTTCTGAATTTATCCATATAACGATCTCTTTCTAGTATTGTTAAAAAGAACGATCTCTTTCTAGTATATTTAGCTTTAATGGTATAAATATTTTTGCTAACTGTAACGTGTTCCCCTCTTTTTTCTTTGTGCGGAACTGTAATCTAACTTCTTAAGTTAGAAAAGAAAAATGAGTCAAGATACTATATTATAGTTATACTAAAGAGAAATCTTTTTCTAATATTCAGTTTCTCCTTCTAAACATGTAGGATATGTTTTTCTTTTAATTAAAAAAAAATCTTGAATTTAGCCAACGTTTTCGCTATATTTAATTTCATATCATCTTTTGATCTAACTGATCAGCTAGCTCTCAGTTATTATAATAAGGTTCGAAGATGTTTTTGAATTAAATTTTCTTCTAAACCAAAAAAGGAGTGGAATTTTCTAAGATGTTTTCTCGTGCGTATTAAAACAAAGAGGTTATCACTTATCATACATTTTATTAATACACTTTTTTACTTTATCTTTTTAACTAGTAGTAGACTACAACTGAAATTTCTTTTACAAATATTCTTTAAATCTATAAAACAGCATTTTCGGTAAAACAAAGTAAAATAAAATCTAAATCGATATTTATTAGGAAACATCTCGTATTAACAAAACTATAAACTGTAAGTGTAATGTTTTTTTTTTTTAACTATTTTTAAGCCCATTTAGCTAAGAGTGACATAATTCCAGCACCGACAAGAAGAGATATATGGGCCATAATTCGAAGACCAGTGTTAGATTGCATCTTAGGGTGCATAAAATCAGCTGCGAGAAAATCAACGAGAGACATATAGATGAGGATCCCAGCAGATGCAGCGTTTAGCACTCCTTGAACTATCAGAGCCGTCTGGCTGAACTCATCATAAGAGTTTGATATTCCCATTCCAACTGCTATTCCGATTGGTGTCGTTACAGAAAAAAATATCGACATTATTGTTATCGACATACAATTAAATTTTCCCTGCAGTATAAATATATGTGTGAGTTCAAATTATTAGAGATATATACGTACGTAGCAGAGAACTTATACTTTAGTCAACTAAATGATTCTTATGGCATGTTAGCTAGTTGGTGTTTGTATTTTTTTTAACCAAAAAGTCAGATGAGTGTGTAACAAAGAGTTGAAAGAAGCAGTCACTAGTCATGAGAAGAGTCAAAAATAGCCGCAAATACGGACGGCACACAATAGGAGTAAAATTCAACGATAATTTCAATGAATACTGCCCAATTAGAAAACAAACAAAAAAAACATTTCCTCTATTTCAAAATAATGTAAATTTTAAAATTTTCACACTTATTGACACATAAATTATGACAATAAATGTATTATTTTATGTGTTTAGCTATTTCCTACAATTTACCTATCAAAATTCAGTAAACATAATTAATATTTTTGAAGTTTACAATTTGCCATTATTATCTACATTAAAAATGTAAAACATAGATCTTTTAGAAACAATTTTTTTTTTAAAACATTGATATATTGATTATAATCTATGCAGTTTCAATTAGAAAGAAAAAAAATACTATGAAAAACTAAGGAAGGAAGTATAGGTACCTGGGCGATGCAACCACCAAGACCAAGACCTTCGAAGCATTGGTGAAACATCAAAGCAGCAAAGAGAGCTTTAGCAGTGTCTGGATCTTGTGATGCTCCCAGTGATATTCCTATTACCACTGAGTGTACTATTATTCCCACCTCCAACACCTATTGTTATTTTTTTTTGTTAAACAAAGTAAATTTTTTTTTTTTTTTTTAAACAAAGTAATTATTACCTTCACTTTACCTAAAACAAACTCATCTACATGAGACATAAAAAATAGCTAGGAATCTATGGAATCTCCGTGCGAGAATTACGTAAAGAGTAGGAAAAGGGAAGCAAACCCATGTGGCTTCATATGGACCTTGTCACTTTTTGATTGTATCTCATTGTTTTATGCTAAGTTTCGTACACACGAAAAGACTGTATTTTTATCTTGATCAAATTTCAGGCTTTTCCCAACACTTAGTTGACTTCACCTTTATTTTAAACATATATTAAAAGTACAAACCGTATTAAAAAGTTATTTTCTGGAATCAGTTACTATATTCAGAGTAAGAGTTGATAATTTCACTTGGCTTTATCTTTTGGAGTTATGTTTTGCGGTCAAATTTCCCCGAAGAATCTCTTAATGTCAGGACCAAAAAACTATGCACTAAAACTTAAAACTCATACTATATAGTATTTATATTACATATTTATAGTGGTATATTTTTCCTTCATGTATACTAAAACATAAACGAAGAATAATAAATCATTTTTCAAAAATAAGATGAAGCGAGTTAATTTACCTGGGCCACAACTCGGTTCCGGTGAAGCTGAACCTCGGATTCACCAGAATCTACACCGACAATTCCGTGCGCGTGACCATGAGCATGCACGTGCAACCCGAGCTCATCTCCACCTCCACCGCCACCGCCACCGATCTGCTCTTCACCGTCACCAATCTTCGTAGACGTCTTATTATGCAATCTATGAAAATATGACGTGGCAAAAGAGTCAACGGAGAGAGTTAAAATCGCTGCCACCATCGCAATGAAACCAGTGAACGGAAACTCCCAAGCTGCCCCTTTCAGACAAGCTGACGTCAACTTCTCGTAACCTTCAGGCAGCACGTGCATAAACCCCGTGGCTAAGATTACTCCTGCGGCAAAGGCTTTTGTCACGAAGAAGAAGTTTGTCTCCGGTTTTAACGACGGGAAGAAGTTTCCTAGTAAAGGAAAGAGAACACCGATAACTCCGGCGACAAGAACGGAAGGTATGGCGGCGATCTTGTATTTTCTGGCTCCGGCTTTGTTTCCTTTTTCTTCTTCGCTTGAACACTCGCACTTAGACTCGCCAGCGGATACGGCGATGAGGAGGAGAGAGATGAAGACAAAGAAGAGTAAGAGCTTGACGTTATGTGTGATTCTCATCGTAGCAAGTAAGATTATGCAAATGGCAAGATTAAGAAAAAGAGCGGTCAAGAGATTATGGAGAGTCTATATCTCAAAATGTGTGTGTATATATAATAATATACATATATATAGATATTAACAAGTGATATTCTAATAGAAGACTTTTTTTATTTAAAATTTTATTTAATATATAATATATCTTTATAAACCTTTTGTCTTTGTATGACGACCTTAAGATGTACTATTTTTGTCTTTGTAGGACGACCTTAAGATTGAAAATATAGCATATATTACTATTAACATAAATTGTTCGGTCCATCATTATAAAAAATATATATGAGTAAAATAACTCACTTTTTATTAATCTCATAGTCCTGACCATACAAATTATATAGTCATACAAGCAAAATGATAATTAAAAAGAACAATGTTATTTTTTTGAGAAATAACATCTTATTATTCACAAGTTCTTTATATAATAAATAGATCATGAGAATTCTGTTTTCTTTTTAATTGTTTTAACAGAATAATTCTCTAATATATGATTTAAAGTTAAACCATCAATCAAAGTGGTTTGAAGTTAGGGCATCTCCATCAGTGATACTGAGGTGGAGATCGCCAGCTGGATTTTTTATTTTTTTTTATTTTTTTATTTTTGTTCGTTTATTTTTTCAAAAAAAAAAAAAAAAAATTGACCAATGGTAGGTCACCACGTGTTATGGGACCCACACTACAGTGCGTGAACCGCCTCTTGTAGATGAACTCCAGAGCTTCAGATTCACTCTTTTTTCCCTTGAAAACTGTGTAATCTCCCCTTTGAACCTCATAAAAACCCCTAATGGGGATGGCCTTACCATGCTAACTTTTTTACTGACTCCAGTTCAAGCATAAAAGTATACCGATTATTCGCAATGATTGATTCATCATGACCAACTGGCAATGGCCCATGTGATTTTGTGTTAATTTTTTTAACTTGTAGACCAAAAAACAAATTTATTATAAAATTGAGAAGAAAGAAGTGAAACGCGTTCATCGTACAAACTATTTAAGAACTTTCCTGTCCCGAATATCCGTATAATTAACATCTGAACAACCAATAACATATCTCTCTTCCTTTTAGAGAGACTGTGCATGCGTATGCCTCCACTGATCAGACCGAAGAACACTACGAAAATCAAATATTTCGGACGTTGTACAAAACTGCAAATTGATGACAGCCACTTTAGGTAGTAAAATTACATAAATAAAATATATACAAAATAAAACAAATACGTGTTCTTGGTGTTGAAAAGCGAGAGAGACTACGTATAGAGACATGCTACGTGTTACTTTAAAATTGTTTTCCTCGTGAATTATTTTAATATTATTAAAGCTAATATGTATATGAAGAGCTTTTACTCTTTTCAGTTTTCACCTCTAGATTATATTATGTCGTGAGAATGTCGACATAAAATGTAGGAAACAAGTTGACTACTTTGTTTCATTAAGCAAGTGTCAAAGTCAAGCCGCTCAAACCTCTAATAATGTCGATATTATTAGTCTATCAGACTTCCACATGCATGTCTTAAGTATTATTTTAATAATTCCACCAAACTCTTTTTTTAACGACAACAGTATTTCTATCTTGTTACTTTTGAGTGTAGGCTTAAATATCTCTTATGCATAATTTAAAAATGATTTTACCACATGTTATATCTAATTAATTTTACTAAGAAAAGATATGACATACTAGAAAAGATGACATGGTTTAAGAGAAAATATGACATAGACAATTACGTTAACCGTTAATTTCAGTTTTTTGGTAATTTTTTTAAATATGGTAATAATTCATATATCATCACTAAAATAAATATATTGAAATTTTGTTTTAGTATATTTTTATAATTATAAAAAATTTATTACTGAATAAAATTTTAAAAGTTTATGTATACTTCAAAAATTATAAATTTTAATCAATGACATCTATTTTCTTTTAATATCTACAAATTTTAGAAATTTGTTTAGTTTTTTTTATAATTTACAGTTTTCTATCATTTTTTCTAATCTTATACAAGCTGATGTAATTATTACCTAATGAAATAAATGAAAATTTATCTACTATTATAATTTTACATATATGTATATATATTTTTTTGTTGGAGAGAAGATCCCACATCGAAAATATGAAGTAATATATAAGGGATTTGGGCCAATCCACTAATTTCCAATTAGTTTTAGATTGAAAACTCATTTAGCTTAACATGGTATTAGAGCCCACGATCCACACAGTTCAACTCGATCCTTATCGATCCAACCCAAATTCGGTCAACCTTGTCCGAACATTCTGAGATTGACGCCAAAGATCCATTATCTCGAGGAGGTGTATTAGGGACAAAAGTCCCACATCAGAAGTTGGAAGAGATTCTATCTAGTATATTAGATAGATGGACCACTCCACTTATCACCAATTGGTTTTAGGTTATAAGATCATCTAACGTAATATGATGGTATCAGAGTCGGCCCACATCCTGATCCATTAATCTGGCCCGAACAGTGGTCCGATCATCTCATTAGCTGATGGCCCATAGAAGGTTCAGTTCCACCGAGATAGCTAGAAAAAGTATTATCTCGGAGGGGGTATGATGGATTTCGAGATTAATGGTTAGACCCACTATTATCTCGAGGGAGGGTTTTGGAGAGAGAATCTCACATCGGAAATATGAAATAATATGTAAGGGATTTTGGCCGATCTACTAATTACTAATTGGTTTTAGGTTGGAAGTCTATATAGCTTAACAATTCTTAAATATAATTAAAATAAACTATATTGTTTACATTATCTTATTTTATGTTTAACTAAATTACATTTATATTAAAATATTGATACTAAATAAGAAAAGTTAAATATTAAAAAAAATATTTTAAATATTATTTAAATTAATCATGTGCAGGAAAATATCTAAAAAAACTTGAAAAATAAGTATATTGCAGTAATCATAATGGCGAGATCTGAATAGATTAAAGTTTGTCATGATAATCCATATTTTTATGATCATCCATTTAACATATGCACACGTTTCTTAGTATAAATGAAAATATACATTGTTTTGAGAATTGAACAGGTTACCAAGGTGAGTTTACACATTTGACAATGAAAGATTAATTTCGTGAGGTTACTACATTTGTTTAATATATCGAGTATAGCACCCACCAAACAGTTAGTATTAGAATCAGTGCCAATCCTGAATTATTATGGGCTAGAAGCAAAAAAAGTCAATTTCCATTTTTGACCACTATATGCTAGTTTTAATAGTATAATGATGTTAGGAGTTTTCAAGGCTCCTAGTCAAATGTTGTATAGTGAAGTAAGTTGTCGAACCAGTTCTGAGGGAAGTAGAAGCGATGAGAATGCAAGTACTAACTTAATCTAAGTGCGATCGAATGTTTGGTTGGTTTTAAAGTGAACTAAAACTAAAATGTAAATAAACGATATGACTTTAACTATGAAGGTAAAT